GCATAAGCACGCACATACAAACACACACACACACACACACACACACATACATACACACACGCATAAGCACGCACATACAAACACACACACACACACACACACACACATACATACACACACGCATAAGCACGCACATACAAACACACACACACACACACACACACACACACACACACACACACGCATATAAGCACGCACCTGTGCACACCCATATATTATACACACAATCTTCCCTCACACATCCTGTCTGTCACTCACATCCTTGCACATAACCATAATAATACAATAGTATTCTTACACTCAAAATGGGGGCTCTCGTGGCCTAGAGGTTAAGGTGTTGGCCTCTCATTCAAAGGTCCCGTGTTCGAATCCGGGTAGCGACCGAAAAATTTTCTTCTCTAAAAATTGTCTCCTTTCACTTCCTTTCCTGCTCTCTAGCAATGTTCTGTTGTCTGCTTGCATTTCCACTTTCTGCCCTCACCCCCTCACCTCCTTGGCCCCCTCCTCTGGGCTCCTCTTTCTGCAGCCTTTCTACTGCTACTCCTTGGTTCCTCCTTACTGCTGTCTTTCTGCCACACCCCTGATCTTCTGGTAGGAAAGATTTACACCTAGCCTTCTCGGACAAGGCGAAAAATCTCAGAGCGCCCGTGTGCAAGTTGCGCATATTAAAGATCCCAGAAGGGGGCGTTGTTCTCATGTCAAAGGGACAGCTGCAGACTATTTATATCCACCGGTGTTCTTCATATCCCTTTACCAGTTATTATTAGAGACTTACTTTCACCAAAGTACAAACAAACAACGGCCAGGAATATCCGTTTGAAGGAATCTGGTGTTGAGTCCTTTTTTCTGCTCCTTTCGGGTAGGCGGGAGGGGGAGAGGTGAAGTCTTACGATGGTCTGCTTGCCATAGAGGATACAAAATTATGCTCGACTGAGCTTAAGACCCGAGCTAAGAATTCAGCAATACGTTAGAGGAAGGAAATTAAACCTCAAGATTTCGCATTACCAAAGAGGTGCAGTGCCAACTGTGCCGCAACGAGTGTCGCCGTAGACTTGGGGCGTCGATGGCCTAGTGGTTAGGCTACCGGACTCATAATTGTGAGGTTGCAGTTTCGGGGGTTTGAGCTACGGGCCTTGGAAAAGGCACTCTACATGGATTTTCCTCACTTCACTCAGGTGGGAACGGGTACCCGGCAACAGACAACGAAAGATCTTGTCAGTATGCTAGTTTTTTAGCGCCTATAACATGCGCATTGCACTGTATGCTTCCAAAGAAGTTTGGGTTGTTTCAGAATGCTTTCAGGTCTGCTGGGGTAATAGAATAGATTGTGAAGTGCATAGAGCTTGCTGTTGAGCGGGGATTTGCGACATACAAATGCTATATATTATTATATACATGTTGAAACACGGGTGTCACTTCTTGTAATACAAACGACCAGAGGAAAAAACCCTCCAAAATTCACAATTTAATTTAGTTCAAAATAGTATAACCAACCTCAAATGAAATGAAATCTGCGGCGTAGATGGAGCTATGCAGATTGTAACCGGGCAAACGTAGGCCTATTTTGTCTTCAGCGGAGGTTTGCTGCAGGTTGGTATACTTCATACCGAGAGGATTGCACGTGATATCGCAGTCCGCAAACCACCAACCCGCCCCCGCCCGCGACGCACAATTTTTCTCTGGACACGCACAGTTCTCGTTGTCGTATGTTGAAAATGCTGCTTCATTCGACGGACCCAAACAGTCTCCTAGCTCATGACCCGTGAAACCGGTGGTAAATCCATATTTAGCAATAAGCCAGCCTTTGCTACCAGTCCACAGTGTGTAGTTGGTACTTGAATTACCAACTTTGAAGTCGTTGTAGTAGATGTGCTGATAACCATTTCGGAAAAGTGCGTACATGTCCAACTGTTTGAAACCAGTTAATTTACTGAGAGCGTACATGTTCTTCAAACCCA